ATTCAACCTGTCTGAAAGTGACTGAAAATAGCTGTATTTGTTACAATGTGGAAGGTAAAGCTCATCCCAAGGAAAATCTGCTGTCTTTTAAGATGGTAGGACTACCAAAATTATTGGGATTGCACTGGCATAACAGAGAAATAAATTGCATCCCTGCTGGGAAATCAATCAGAAAATAACACCAGCACTGTACAAGGGTACAGTGGTCATCTCCCCCTTGCTGACACCTCACAGGAATCCACAAGTGTTCACTGCAAGCTAAACAGTGTTTCAGTATCATATACTACTCTTTATAAATGACTTTCATTCCTCACCAATTACTTCCTCTTTTATACCATTCCTTTTTCGCATTTCCTGTAATTTTTCTCCTCTTAATCATTATTAATGTAATTGGTTTTAGACAGAAATATTATTTGTGCTCCTATTTATCTATGGTGCCTTGTGAAACACAGCTGAGAGAAACCTTAACTGGGTAAGAATTCCTGTTTTTTCAAAATGAGTATTGTTACGTTAGCTCAGCACTGTATTTAAATTGTTTTTTGGTACAATAGGTCTCACTTGGACTATTTGGATAGTTCAGTACTCTATGTGGTAAGGTAGAATTGCACTAATAAAATCAAGCAGCAAGCACATTTCATCTGCCATTTGTGCTTTCAGTGCTTCATAATTAACTTTAGCCAAAAATTACCCCTTTAAGCCCAAGGGATTAATTCTCCCTTAACTATATTTGTGCATTATAGAAAAAACAGTCATCCCTTGGCTTCCTGGCCTTGGATGAGCAATTTACTGCATTTTCAACCCACACTATCTGTGGATAAATTCCAGGTGTGTGCTTGCCCCTCATGGAGTGAATTTCATGCTGTTTGACTTCTTTTTATTTAACTCTGGGAACAGGAATACCCTAAAGCAGTTTCCAAGCTGCAGCACGACCTGGACATTGGTACCCAAGGCAGCTCTGCTCCAACCCCACCCTGTCCCCAGCTTCCAGCACTTGGCACTTTGCATCCTCCTGATGCTTTTTCTTATATTTCAGCACCCACCTTGTAATCCCCTCCCCTCAAACTATTTCCTTCTTCCTTATTCACTGCCTAGTCCAGCCTTTATCCCTCACCTCTGAAGAATGCTGATCTGCTGTTTGATGGACAATTTCTGTTAGCATCTCTGGCATGTATTTGTTTTTTGGAGGAATGTAAATAGAGAAAGGCAGGTGATTCCTGCCAATGTCAAGGAGAGGTTCTCAAGGCAGGCTCTTGACAAGTTACTTGGGTGCTACTCAAATAATCCAGTGAGAAAAGGTCATATTGAATTCAACTTTTATACATAAGCAATCACATTACCATATGTCAAAGGCACCAACCTGCTTTAAAAAGCGTCAATGCAGATGAGTACAAATATTTCAATGTCCAAACAAATCTCCCAAGCCCTCCCCCTAAACTATTTTGGGATGATACCAGATGGCAATGCTAAACATCTCAAGTACTTGAAAATAATTTGGATTTGTTTGCTTGCCTTTTTACAGCTTTTGACCAGTTTAGAACCCAAGGAACAACAACAAACACATTCAGGAGTCTACAATTACTTTAAATATGTAAAAACATGAAAAAAATTCACAAAAGTAAATCAAATAATTTGTCAACAATCTCTAGCTTTAAGGTCACTATTAAAGAATATTCTAGAGCCCTAGGAAGGAAACGTGCTGTTAATTGCACCCTGCATTAAACAAGACATTAATGAGCTCTGGAATTCCTATCACAGTGGTTTTAGGACACACGAGTCTGTCTGCAGCAAAGTCCAGAGCTGGCTCAAATAAGCACAAAACCAATTCTTAGAACCTTGAGATGTGCTTAGCATGTTAGGAAAAGGCTGTGCACATATTCCCACTGGGATTCTCTCCTTCTAAACCACTGCAGAAGTGTTTGAAAATGGACACTGAGCAAAGAGGATGGCCAGGATGATGAGCACCTTAAAGAGCAGCTGAATTATCAATGCAGCTCGATTATGGAGACCATTCCTCAGGCAAAAGGCAGAAAGTCTGCTGAGAACAAGTGTCCTGTCACCTGGAGGGTGTCAGTTGTGGTGACACACGGGGTGTGACTGAAGGCCCTGGGGACACGGGAGGAAAAGCAGGAGCAGAGATGAGTGGCAAGTCCTGCCTGTCCTGCTGGGGTGTCTGTCTGTCTGTCCAGAGAGGAGGAAGGGAAGGAGGACATCCTGGCTCCCAGGTGTGACAGGAGCAGCTGGTCTCCTCTCTTTGTGACAGCAGCAGTTGCTGCCACCTCATTTTGAAATCTAACAGGGGAACAGGAGTGGGCACTGACAAGAGCACAGGGAGAAATCACCAACACATCATCATCCTTGGTTTAGGATAAAGATGGAGGCTGGTGGTGCCTGGGGGCAACTGCAGCAGCTGAATGTGCACTTTCCACCTGAGAACTTCAGCCTAAGCAGAAAAGAAAGCACAATTTATTGCAGAAAAAGGGCTTTGAGAGACAAGGCAACTACTGAGTGCATGATTCCACTGCTGCTTTCCCAGCAATGTGTGACAGCTCGGGGCCCATCTCATCCAGCCCCATTTCACTGCAGCATCTTTGTAAATAGGCAAAAAGGACACCTTGTGCACACACTCTGCTATCAAAATAAGAAAGAGCCAAAAAAATCTCCCCTCAGAGTAAGATTATTTTCACTATTAACTCTGTACTGCCCCCAAAAGGCACCGTTTTACCTAAGAAGCAGCCAGTGATCCAACATGCAGGGAGAGATGGATGGGTCTATTTGGGGAGCAGTAGAGCATTTGTTCTTGGAAAAACTTGCTTTCCCTACACACTGCCACCATTGGCTCTATTCTTCTCAGGATGCTGTAAAAACATTTATTTTTGCCAAGATAAACTTGTCAGAAACACAGAAAATATTTTGGGACTTTGCGGGACTTTTTCCTCCTCAGGTGAATTCTATTCAATAATTTTCCTAAAAAAAAAAAAAAAAAAAAATACAAAAACTCCAACAGATTCTATAGAATTTTTTTCATCCAATCCACTAATTCAAAAGGAAATCAGTTACCCAACAGCTCTCCACACAAAACAAGTGAAATAACAACATGAATTTAAAGTAGATCAAATATACCAAATCAATCCCTTGCATGGATACTGCCATTAATTCATTTCAATTTCATTTAGCTTAATTTGCTTTGGAACAAAAGCATAGTCAATCAGGTTAAGGCCCTTTTAATTCACATTTTTTCCCTTCCAGTACAACATCCTACACTTATTTGGATTTCCCCCCTCCCATTTTAGCAAAGTCTTAAATAATCACAAACTTGGACCTAAATCTTCCATCTCTTTTGCACTACTCAAGACCTGGTTTTGTAAATTTTGCAGATTGGAGATTTTAACTATGATCTTGCCTTTTTTTTTGTTTTTTTTTTAAATTAGAATGTCAGTAAACACGAGCTGTGTAGAAAGCCTTTGTCCCCTGGAGGTCACCTAGAAATCCATTTGCTGGTGCCTTTGTTTGCTTGGCTTTTCCAGGGAAATGGAGAGCCTTGCCCACCACTCCCTGCCCTCACATCTCCTTTCCCCACAGCAGCTGCCCTGCCAGTGAGTAAAGACCACATTTCCTCTTTTTTTAAAGGAAGAGCCAAACTGGGAAAACCACGAGGCAGGGTTAAAGTCACAGCCTGGAGGAAGAGAACAAACTCCATAACAAACCCAACCATGCCTCCACTGCTCTTGCTGTCTGACAGATGATTTCCCTGAGTGGGAAACTGAAACGATTAGAGGGTTTCCTGGGGGAAACTGAAAGGTAGAGACAGACCCAAGGGAAGGCAGATGGAATATTCCCCATCTTCCCTGGTATCAGAGCAGGGAATCCATGGGAGGTGCTCTCTCTCTCAGCCCCTACATCTGCAGTAAACCTGCAGTGCTCCTGCTCAACTTCAGCTGGCTCCAGATTGCTCCATCCCCAGCACTTTCCAGCAAAGGACAGTTGGCAACCCAAGATTTAAGGACAAAATATCCTTCTGCTTATTTTTAAAAAAATATTTTTAAAAATATTTCTCCCTCTTTTTCTAAGGAGGGATAATTGGAGTATTGAGGCATACCCTACAGCACCCTTGGTCAGAAGGTATCAGGAGATTCAGTCAATAATTTATAAGTCATGTGATTAGTCTCAAGATTGCTCCATCCACAGCATTTTCCAGCAAAGGACAGTTGGCAACCCAAGATTTAAGGACAAAATATCCTTCTGCTTTAAAAAAAAATTATTTATTTATTTATTTAAATATTTCTCTCTCTAATTTTCTAAGGAGGGATAATTTGACTATTGAGGCATACCCTACAGCACCCTTGGTCAGAAGGTATCAGGAGATTTAGTCAATAATTTATATGCCATATGATTAGTATCTTTCCAAAGACTAGCCATCCAAGTTAACCTCTAGTGCCACACTTTTTAAATAAAATTGTTTTAAAAAATAAAATAAATATAACGCCTGGCCTTAGCTTGAGGGCAGAGCTGGCTCCCAGGGCTGTGCTGTTTATTCCCCCTGGCACAGTGCTGACAGCAAGTGGCATCTCTGCAAGTGTCTGCAGTTCCACACATGCACAGCTGTGCCCTATGAAGGTCAGGGTTTGCAATTCTGCAGGACAGATCATACTGGAGAGCATTATCCTTTAGCCTGCTGCTACTCCTTGTGATCCAGCACAGCCTTCAACCTCCCTGCACATCCAGGAAAAGATTACTCTAGTTTTTTTCCAAATGCTGAGCCCAGGGTATGCAGAGCATGTTACAGAGCAGAAATGCTGCTCTCATGACCTGTGTTTGCCTTTAGTTTGGTCATATCACATGTAAATATGGCAGGTCCCTTTTCTCTCATGGCATCTTCTCTTGTGATGCCTTCCAAAGAGAATCCCCAAGCTCTTATGTAAAAGCAGAAATAATGCCCAGCAGAAAGCACAACTCCAACAAGGCTCCACTGAGTTACCATTAAACCATATTCCAAAGTTTACCTTAGTTCCTTGAAGGGGTCTGCCCTGACATTGGGAGTTTCTATAGATTTAGGGAACACTGTGCCTTCTGCTCCTGAAATCACAAAACAAAACAGAAGACAAATTGTAAACATTATAAGCTGTTATCAGGGGAGTGATTGTCAAATCATACCTAGGTGCAATTTAACCCATTGCTTGACCCCATGTTTTTCTTGCACATCCCTTCTGTACCCAGAAAAGCCAGACCTTGTTCATCTGCAATGGGCTGCCTTGATTTGCCTGTAAACTTCACTTCTGGCTGGAAAAGTAGGTGCTTGCACCCTGACTTGGGGAGAGTCTGCTGACCCAGCTGATGCAGGGAGCTTAGAAAAGATACCCTTTGCTAACCAGGCTTCTAATCCAGCTACAGCCCTCATTAAAGTACCTGGATCCATGTTACAACATTATTTCTTTCACTGGGCTCTCAAAGATACTCAAGGGAGAAAAGCAAATTTTCAAAAACTTGATCCCTGCAAACAGCTCTCCAGTCAGGCTGTGCTCCTGCCTGGGGAAAAGGAGGGAGGTTCACCCTCATGCAGGGCAGCACAAGCAGACTCTGCTCCAGTCCCAGCCCGGCCATCAGGTCACTGTGTGACTCAGAAATTATTCAACTTTTGCTCATTCCCCCTTCTCTCAGAGACAATGGGGAAGATGCACTGCCCCATTTGCTGACTGGCTTTAGAGCTGTGAACTGCTGGGTACTATAAACAGCTTGTCCAAGTTCCAGACCACTGCAATTCTCTTCATGGCCACCTGTACAGCCCAGTTGGGCCATTTCACCCAGCCATCCCTGAATTGGGCCCATATTTTGTGATCTCTCTTCTCTAGAAAGATGTGCTCTCCTCATATCACTGCTGTAAGCCAAATCCCTGCCACCCTCTGGCAACCCTTTCTACTAACTGCTCATTTAAAATGTGCATTTAATCTGAAATGGTCTCACTTCATCTTTCAGCCACTGAATCTCCTTGAGTCCTCGTGTGCCAGCCAGCCTTGCATGAGGAGACTTTAGTTAGACACTGATGGTGACCCGACCCCCCCAACCTGCTCTGATTCTCTGAGAAGTTCTGGGCTTTCTGAATCAATCACTGTGCAGCAAATCCTCTGGACTTCTCACGGGTTTTTTTTTTCTGAATCTGTTCTACTTTTAAAATGCTCTGTTGGAGCACAGGAGTCCCCAGGTGCTGTCATCGACTCTGCTGCAGAACATCACGTTCCTGCTCCCACTGAAACTCCCAATTAAAACACAGCTGAGAGTGGCACTAACTGCCTCACACACAGAGTGCACTACAAATTAATGTTGCTGTTCTCCAATATGCAGCTGCCAAGCCAATGAGAAAGTATGACCTATATTCTTAAATTTAAACCTGTGGTCTTGCCTTCAGAAGCACTGTGAACAATTAGTCACTCGTTACCTGCAGACATCACAGCAATTTCAGTGTCAGCATGCAGACAGTGCTGGTGGCATTTTTTTTTATTTCTTTAGATTTTACTCTGATAAAGTTATTGGTGCAAACTACAGATCCTGATGAAAAGTTTCACAAGTACTGTTTTGAGAGCACTCCTAACACATGCTAGTGCAACTATTCCCTATGTGCAGTTTGAAAGTCATCATTACAGAATAACAGATGTTCTGAGATGGTCCAAAACATGTCAAGACAACATCCTGCTGTAACTGCTGCCATAAGTGAAAAACACCTACGGCTGCATTACTACACTGCACTGAAATAAATTAACTAAGCTGTACCACTGTATTAAAGCAAAAAAAAAAAAAAAAAAAAACAGAATGAAAACAAGCACTCTTACATCTATAAAAATATTCCCCAACTCCTTTTAACCCAGAGAAAAAGTAAACTCCAAGATGATAATAGCAGCCTAAAGTTTGAAGCTTTATACTTGGGGATTGAAGCTGATCCTGTGGCACAATACAGATATTTAGCTTTTAACTTTACTATAAGCTTTCATTGTTACAAGTTGTCATAAGCAGCTGTAACTTGCCAACCATGAAGGTTGTTACTATCAGATCTGTCCTCTCTCAACAGTTTCCAAATGATTTAAATCTCTGCTTTATCCAACACGATTGCCTTGGCTTTGCAATGAAATGTAGCAAAACATCCAGCCTGCACTTATCTGCATAATAGAACAGTGATTTTTGAGGGAAGGAAGATGAGGAGGGGCAGATGGAGAGATGCACATAGATATTCCTGTACCCTTTCCACCCACGTGGCTTAAATGGTGTTTTTATGCTGGGTATTTTAATTAATTTTTAGACACCTTAAGTCGGATACGCAAGTCATGCAAAAATAACTACCTCCCTGTAACCAGAAGTGCTTGCAGAATAAGGAGAAACTGTGACTTCTTTCTAAACTTGGGGGTTTCCAGGCGTTCATTATTTAGTTTAAATGCAGGAAGCAACTTTGGAAACAAGGTCAATGAAAACCCCAATGCAGTCATTTCAAGGAGGTTGAAAATAAAAGAGCTGGGTATTCATTTCCTCCATTTTCTTGTTTTCCCTTCCCTACACAGTTCTCAAACCCTCTTTTCCCATCTCCCTTCTTGCCAGATCCATTAAAAAGTGCCTCATGCACTGGGAACAGGAATGAGATTTCCAAACACTTCTGTTTCTCTCCTTTGATCCGAATTAGAAGCAAATGCCACCTGCCTTGATAAGGCTTTCTGCCTTGACTGCCTAATTCCTTAATATTCTTCTTTAATAACACAGAATCTCCCAAAGGGCCACTTGTCCCTGCCACAGAGCAGGACATCAGGCACGAGGGGATGCTGAGGGTCCAGGACTGAGACATGCCTCCCTTGGCTCTGGCTGTCAGCAGCTGAGAGCTCCCTTGAGTTGGCAGAGAAAGTTCATCAGAGACATGATAAACTTTCCTCCCCTCACCTAATCCTCATCCCAAGTGTCCCCCTTTCTGCAGCAGGGGGCTGATGGATGAATTAAACACTCTGCAGAAGCTCCCCCTTTGGTTTCACCTCACTGCCTGACAATTTCAGAAAAGAACCATCCTCTTCTTCCTGTGCTACTGGGAATTTCCTGGACCTCAAACATGCCTCATCCCTCCAGCCCCCTCTATTCTACACTGGACAGTCTCAGCCTCTGCCCGAGGGATCAGCAGCTCCCCAGGGGGAAAACTGCCTTGGACTAATTCACCTCCACTGAATATTCGTGTCAAAGTTTGGCTTTTGGCCACCGTGGAAGTCCCCAGCCAGGCTTTGACAGCATCACTGTTGGATGGTGCTGAAAGTGAAGGCTGGAGGAAATGACTTCATTTAGTGGTTTCAGGAGCACAGAATCACTTATGTTGGAAAAGACTCTGAAGATCACGGAATCCAACTGTGACTCAAGGCTTTGGCAAAAAAGAGGAAGGAAAGTTTGAGGGAAATGTGCTGTTGTCACTGAATTGGGCTATTCTGGCTCTGCTGAGGAAAACTGGGATGTTATGGAGTAACAAGTGATTGAAAATGTGAAGTCCAAGGTCATGTGCTTTGAAAGTAGTAAAATTCTTCTGCATGTTGGAGGCTTCCAAGGTATAATATCCCTGGATAAAAGCTGAATGCTACTCATGATTCATGGCAGTGTGACAGAGCCAAAGAGAAGGCAAACATGGCATTAAACTGAAAGGGAAGAAGAAAGTCTACCAAGAACACACAAAAAAAGAAAATCACATTATTTTAAGAATCATCAGTGAATCCTCAAACTGTTGTGTGCCTCCCCTGCTCATCCCCAGTGAGGAGAGTGTACAGAGAGGAAAAACTGTCAGGACTGCACAAACAGAAGTCTGTCCTACAAAAGAAGCCTGGAAGGACTTGGCTTTGTAGCTGAGCAGCATGATGTGCTGAGGAAGGATACTCATGCTGTGCATAAATACATTAGGAGGGTAAATAACATGAAGGGAAAAGAACCACTGGCTCTAAGCCACTCTTTATATGAGAGCCAGAGCTTATATGAGTGGCAGTAAACTGGTCCTGAGTAGATTTGGGAAGGAAAGTGAGGGTTTTCTACAAAAAGAGGAGCTACAAGGGGAGCAGCTTTTCCCATAGATGGGACAGACAATATGACAGATCTGACAAATTCCTGACTGGAAGATCTGGTGTCTCAGAACCAAGGGGCAATATTTTCAGGACCAGCAATTTCCTTCTAGTCTTGCATTCCTCTAGTCTTATTTTCACAGTCCTCTACCTGAGAAATGATGGGTTTTGGCAAATGGTATTAACAAACAGCTCCAACAGTTCAAGAGTCAGCTGCTACAATCTCCCTTTCCAATCAAAGCTGCTTTATCCCTCTTCCTCTTTTATTCATTATTGTACAACACAGTTTCTGCTTCCTGAATTATCAGTTGGCAAAACATTTTCTATCTGCCATGGAAAATGCATACAGAAAATTTCTATTTCATTGCAAAGTACTGAATTTTTTTTTCATCATATGAGACTTGCTGCTGCATCTAAGGGTAACTTATGTGCAATCAGCCAAAGACAGAAGAAAACAATAATATAATTAGTATTTAAACACACTGTACTGTACATCCCTAGGCAATAAATTATTCTTTCTCACAGTATTATATCAGAGAGGCTTCTATTATACTGATTTCCTCTTCTGACATTGTGTAATTTACCACCGATAAATGTTCATAAACAGTTTGACTGAAAAATCCATAAAGCCATTTCAGCTTTATTTTAAGTCCCATTTAATGTCCTTCAAAAATGATTTCATCAATGTGTTTCCATTAGCTGGTTCTCTGCCCAATAACTTAATTCCACACAATCAGTCAGGAACTTATAAAGCATATGACAGGATCTACCTCAAGTATTTTGAATCACATAAAGATTCACTCTGAGAGTGTTTTGGGTTTTTTGGCTTTTTTTCCCCCTTTCAGTGCCTAAGGTGTGGGGTGTCAAAGACCCCTGTAAGTGTTCACCTCATTCAAGAACAAAAATCAAGAGTCTCATGGCAAGAGAACATTTCCAGTCCAGTTTTAGGGCTTGAAATGGAGGAGCACAAATGCCCCAAGAAAGAAACCTCAGCTGGAAGGTAACAGATCCAACCAG